GTTAGCATGGCTACGAGATGACTAGTAAATTCGTAATGCTAGTCATGTCCATTCAAACACTGTCAAGGTAATATAATGAATCAAACCAACAAACTGCAAACTTGAAACATAAATTTATTCATGATATTAAACTATACTCGCCATTCATTTCAAAGACTTCACTCATATGTTTTGTAATATCTGAGTTTATTCTCAAAATATTGTATATTTTTACAGATAATGCTAAAAAAGAGACCACATTAACCTAATACAATACCATAATTATGAAAATAATACACTATGTATGGAATAATTCAGGGAGAATGCAGTAGAAAGTGTTTACTATAAGAACTGTTTTCCCTCCATTACCTTTCCCAGGGAAAAAATATGATAATTAATAAAAATATATATATATATGTAGAAACAGAATTCATTAGATTGCTGCAGGAAAATGCTTAGTGGTATCAATATCCTTGCTTTTAGAAAGTTTCATGATGAAATATAAAGTTTAACACATGTAAAACTTAAAAAAACATCATTTTTTGGTAACAGAGAGAAAAGTAACGGAGGGAATTTTTTTTAGACTTGTAAAACACAGGTTTTACCAGATACTAACACCTAATAGTTTTAATTTTCATAAGTATACTACCTAGAGATGTAGATTAGTCAAAGATGAAGCTTGAAAGTTAACCTGAAGAGGATTTTGCAGGTCTTTGAAATTTGGGAAATAGATTTTGTTCAAGGCCTAAGAATTGTACATGTGACATGGTATGTTTATTAAAATGTAACTTTAGAACTAGAACTAAACTAGAGTACATATGCTATCTGTTGATCACTTCCTGTTATGTGAGGTAAGTGAAAAGTTGTGACATTCGTTTCACACGTTGCCTAGTTTTGCTTGCTCATCTATGATCTACTCTGACATCTGGGGTCAGAGTTTTTTCACTTACCACACATAACAGGAAGTGATCAGTTTCTCTGACCCCAGATGTCAGAGTGGGTCATAGATGGTCTGTGCCCTGACTAGCACCGTAGACTGCTCATGTACCACTCTGTATGCCCTGTGCCATTGGAAGCTTCAAGTCAATAAAGAAACTGTCTTGGTATCACAATGTTTATTAAATTCTCAGCATTTGCTTTGTAATTGGAGAATTTCCATGACAGTGTTTACTTGAGAAAATAACCCCATGCAAATTTTGATGAATAATTTTTTCCCCATTTTATCCTAAATGCTCAAAATTTTTGCTTGATTTTTGACCAATAAACCACACTAAAAAATTCATGTTTTCTTAAGAGTTAAATGATTGGGACCCTGCATTGCAAATTCCACCTTCAGAGAGACGACACACAGAGAGACAGTTGGCCTTTTGTTGAACTCATGTCAAACTTTACGACAACCACCATTGCCACATTCAGCGGTCGTCTGCTGTTCACACTCTAATGTACATCTTTTTCTTATCTACGGCCCTTCGGTTGACTCTGACCGGCCCAGTTAAGATAATTTGGAATTACAAAATACACATATTTGATCATTTTACCTCATGCATGGACTGAAGCTGCATTGCTTTTATTTTAGAGGTGTTTTGTTAAATGACATTTTTTTTGTAAGGCAACCTCACTTTTTCATTGCTTAGTCATAACATAAACCTTACCAGTCTGACCAGCTCATCAAAACAATGCTATTTACTGCTTTTTATAAAGAAATACAATTAATATTATGCAGAACTGAATTAAGCATTTGTCCCGGCAATCCACAGTATTTTCTGTATCTCATGTGGCCCCATGGAAAAAAGTCTTCCCCTTTAGTTTAATATTAACTGTGGGGGTTGATAAGGGCCCTTGCACTGTTGTAAACTTTGTAATTAATTTCTGTTTGTCCAGCTTCTAATACAAGGGTATTCTCAAACTCATGGACATGCATGCATAATAGAAATCTACAACCCACTTATTTTCAGTCAAATTGGCCATTCTGAGAAGAATCTGGACCAGTTTGTACTCCAAATCTACATATAAAAAAATAACCCAAAAAATGTATATGAATTTTATATTAATTCCGCCTCATGTTTAGTGAGATATTCTTCAGCTTTGACATAGGAACTCTCAAGACCCACCAAATCCCAAATCAGACCATCCCCAGGGACACCAGCTTATATTCTTATATTTACCTCCCAAAATTTAAGCGAACTTTGAAATCTGACTTTCCTCTGTGTAGAGCTTGTTCACTTCAAATGAGAGTACAGAGATATTTAGGAGACAGCAGAGGCCAAAACTACAGAACCCCAGCTTCACAAAGAGTTCAGCCACTTGTCTATGCTCCAGAAAGTTTACAAACAGATTCAGTTTAAATTAAGAGTCATCTTAATCAGGCATTTTAGGAAAAATAGGCCAAAACATGAAGGGGTTAATAATTTCAAGGGTCCAGATAGGGCTGGGTATCATTAAGAAGTTGCCGATACGATACATACTTCGATACATAGGCCACGATACAATACATATCTCGATACAGTGCACTTTCTATTCAACACAATATATTTCAAATCGATTTGATACGGTTCAATAAAAAATAATGGCTAAATCATGGCTGTGATCCTAAAAGTCTTTGTTAAACCGTTTCCTGTGCATTGTTAACATAAAAAATGCCCATTTTAATAATCAAAACAGTGAAAATGTCAAATATGTTGCATAAACGAGTTTCCCTCCTCTTAACAAGCAACAAAACTGTAGCGCTGTAATAAAAAAAATGTAGCAAAATATACCAAAAAATACTCTTGGTGAAGTATCAATACAGCAGCTCACGATATCGATACTGTATCATCACATTAAATGATATGATATATTGATATTTTGATATTTTTGCACACCCGTAGGTCCAGATGAGTCCTGTGTGAGGGATGCATTTCTCGAAAGGGCATCACACCACTTTTATCCTCCCCATGATGTGAGGAGTTTTTATTGGGTGCCCAAAATATTCATTTGGGTGGAGTCCATGGCTACAACCCACCCAGTTTCTGAAATAAAAAGACAGGGTGACGCACAGAGCTACGCAGTTAACCATGGACCCCACTTGTGCTTGTGATACTGATGAATCCTCCTTTGACATCCAAAAGATGAAAGCAGAACTGATGCAGCTAAGAGCCGAGATTAAGCAGCTTCAGACCGAAAACAAGGGTGAACTTCTAAATTTTAGAATACATAGTTAGCATGTATTATCATCATTATTATTATTATTATTATTATTATTATTATTATTAGTAGTAGTAGTAGTAGTAAGTAGTAGTAGTAGTAGTAGTAGTAATAATAGTAGTAGTAATAGTAGTAGTAGTAGTAGTTGTTGTGATAGTATTATTCATAATAATATAGTTTGTGTTAAATAGCATTCTTTTTATGCTACTGTCTTTTTCTCTGTTTCAGTTAGAAAAGTGGCTTTCTCTGCTGCATTGCTGGAGTCAGGTGACAAGTTTTTTGGACCATTTAATACTGATACTACTCTTGTGTATAAGTATGTTACCACAAACTTTGGACATGGCTACAACTCAACAACAGGTAAATTAACGTAAACATCATTCAAAGCTACGTCTTTATAATACTGTTCAAAACTTCCTTTAGGCATCTTCACTGCCCCGGTCAAAGGAGTGTACCACTTTGAGATTTTTGCACTATGCGATTCTGGTCACCCTGCTGAAGCTTATCTGATGAAAAATGGGTGTGGTGTGTTTATGGCGCATGAAAGCAGTAGTTCTGGATGCACCACTGCGGGGAATGCAGTCTCACTGTCTCTGGAGTCTGGAGATGTGGTCTATGTCGTTTTGCCTGCCAGCCGCAAACTTTACGACAACCATCATCGCCACAACACATTCAGTGGTCACCTGCTGTTCACACTGTAATATGTGCTTCTTCCTCTTATCTGGGACTGGGTCATACGAGCTGCAGCTGGGACTCCCAGACTTCCTCCAGCTCCTCCAGGTTGAAAATCATGTTGGCCTATAAAAGCATGCAATAATAAAATACAACTTTAATCTCTTAAGAAGTAGGGGACTTTTCTTGATTGAATGAATGAATGTCTTATATCCACTATCTGATAAAAGGAAGCAGGTAAAACATGAATGAACAGCTGTAGCACACAGATTTTCAGTCAAATCAACCTTTCAGAGAAGAATCAGAAGAATCAGAATCAAATATGACTTAATTATGACTTAATTATAATAAAAGTGCAAATACGGGTTTAAAATCTACAAAAAAAAAAAAAAAAAGCACAGTTACCCCAAAAATCTATTCAATTACAGTGCCTTTGCATGCCTGCTTATAATGTAGACATAGGAAAGGGTTCAAATCTGGTTGGCCACTCCAGGTCCAGGTAAATAACCAGTTTGTTTAATTGTACTCATAATATTGCACTTTTATTTTTTTTTTTTTAAGCGAGAAAGATAAATATTTAAACATTTCTGATCCTGGAGCCATCTCAGTGAAAAAAGTCTGGATATGCATGGGTTTACAGACCCCATATGTTTACTCCTATTAAGTAATATATTCTACAGTGTAACAGTACTTCTGCTTGAGTAATATATTTTTATTGAAGTAACAGCACTCTTAGCAAAAGTTGTGGTTCCTCTTCTCACTGTAAGTAAGTCTAGAAGTGACAAAAGCTTTATGTTGACAATATGAAGTGAACATTTGTGTCTCTTGCTCCGTTCCTTCAGATATGATTTAGTTTGCCTCATTTTTGTATCTATCCTTTGAAAATGCCAGATTTTGTGAACTGGCCTGTTTAATGTTGTGTTCTACGAATTAGGCCTACATTCACTTTAAATTTGAAATCAGATATTAAGGCCAGACAGGTACCATTACATGAGTAGTAGTTTTGTAGTTTTATTGTAATATATCGGACCACTACTATGTATTTCTTCTTGAGTCTTTTTTTTCACCTCTGCTCTTCTAAAACGTCCCACAGCTCTCCGGGAGGGGGCGGTGTCACACATATAAATTCTGTCACTTCCTCTCCAGACCGGAAAAACACACCAGCGTGGTTCCGCTCTGTCTGTCGCCAGACAGGGTGACGCACAGAGCTACGCAGTTAACCATGGACCCCACTTGTGCTTGTGATACTGATGAATCCTCCTTTGACATCCAAAAGATGAAAGCAGAACTGATGCAGCTAAGAGCCGAGATTAAGCAGCTTCAGACCGAAAACAAGGGTGAACTTCTAAATTTTAGAATACATAGTTAGCATGTATTATCATTATTGGCCCTCGCCACTAACAAAGTTAGGGGCGAGGGGTATTGTTCTTCGCCGGTTTCTTACGTTTGTTTATTGGCCCTCGCCACTTACAAAGTTAGGGGCGAGGGGTATTGTTCTTCGCCGGTTTCTTACGTTTGTTTATTGGCCCTCGCCACTAACAAAGTTAGGGGCGAGGGGTATTGTTCTTCGTCGGTTTCTTTTTTTTTAAATTCCCTTTTCTGACCAAACGATTGCATTTTTGACCCCCCGAACATGGACGAAAAGTCCCCAAACCGGGGTCCAGATTGATCGGCCCGGTGGAAAATTCGATAAAATGGGCATTGCAACAATGACCCAAGTGACCCGACTCAACAGCGCCGCTTACAATTTGACCCCTATGGGAGTGTGGACAGGCAAAGTTTGTCACAGGGAAACGAAATTCGGAACAATGATAGAGAACAATGAGACAAGCCAAAAGATGACTTGGAGCATGACCCTATGACGAACAGGAAGTCGGCCATATTGGATCAAACATTCGCCGCCATTTTGACTTAGGGGTCTACAAAAAGATTCAAGTCCCCGGGGTTTGGTCCAAATGAGCTCAAATTTGACATGTCACAACTACAGACATGAACTCACAGATGTTGCCAATGTTTTTTTTTGATACTCCTTACGGTTCGCCCGTAGCACGCCGCCGAAAAACGCCTTCATTTCCTGTTTTTTCGGTGACCTGTCACGGCCACAGGCATTGTCCTAGAGAACTCTAATTCAAATCACAATTGTGTGATCCAGGTCTGAATGTAATGAAAAATGAAATTTAATAAAAGTGAACTCTATAGCGCCCCCTAGCATAGACGTGAAACGTCAACATTATCGGATTTGTACCAAATTCGGGGATTAAATTCTATGCATGATTATGAGCAAAAAAGTTTATTACAGACATGATGCATTTTCAACCATTGGCCAGCAGGGGCGCAAAGACTCCACTGAAAAATAGTTAAAAAATTATTACACCCACAGACTTAGTCCAATCGTGCTGAAATTTGAATCACTAATGCCTGATCACGGCCTGAATATAATACACTATAAAGTATATGAAAAGTGAACTCCATAGCGCCCCCTAGCATAAACTTGAAACGTCAACATTATCGGATTTGTACCTAATTCGGGAATTAAATTCTATGAATGATGACAAGCAAAATAGTCTATTACAGACATGGTGCATTTTTGACGCTTGGCCAGTAGGGGCACAAAGACTCCCCCAAAAAATAGTAAAAAATTTATTACACCAACAGGCTTAGTCCAATTGTGCTGAAATTTGAATCACTAATGCCTGATCACGGCCTGAATATAATACACTATAAAACATATGAAAAGTGAACTCTATAGCGCCGCCTAGCATAGACATGAAACGTCAACATTATCGGATTTGTACCAAAGTTGGGTATTAAATTCTATGCATAATTACAAGCAAGAAAGTGTATTACGGACATGGTGCATTTTTCACTGTTGGCCAGTAGGGGTGTAAAGACTGCCCCAAAAATATTTACAAAATTATTACAGGGACATGTTTAGTTCGATCGTGCTGAAATTTGAATCACTAATGCAAGATTTTAGCCTGAATATAATACACTATAAAGTATATGAAAAGTGAACTCCATAGTGCCCCCTACCATAGTGTAACAAACAGGCTGGTTTGTTACCCCAGAACCACACTTAGCACCTTCACCCTTCACTAGAGCACTTTAAAACACTGCACTTTCCTAGCACACAGCACTTTTAACATATTTGCACATCACAAAATAAATTGCACACAATTGGTTTTAAAAAATATTTATTGTCTTTCCTTTAACCATTTTTTATTCCTGAGGCACAGCACGTTAATTGGAAGTTGCTTGTCCCTGGAGGAAAAGGGAGACAATAACAAATTACATTTTAAATTGACTTTGTGCAATAAATATGGTGCAATATCTGTTTTAGAATGTTTTAAGTGTTGATGTGTTTAGTGTATTTTATTGTGTTTTAATGAATGGTGTGAATCTGCTTTTACTTACCTCCCCTTTTTATCTTCTGTCCAGGTGTGAAAAGAGTCCCCCGGAAACGAGCTCCCTCTTTTATGGTTCCGGGCTGGACCACGTGTAACATTTTGTACAGGGGTTTTAGGTTAGGTGTTTTATTGGTTTGTGGGTTTTAACATTTAATTGGTGTAATGGTTTTAGGGTTTTATGTATATAGTTGGTGGTTTTAATAGTTATCTGGGTTTTGGGTTGTTTTATGGAGGTTTAGGTTTTAATTTTACGCTAATGATAATTTTAACCATCCCTGTTTTAGCATAGTGGTTTTATCCAATCAGTAGGACCGGCATAAAAGGCGCCTTCAAGATCAGTCTGTGTTCTGCTGCTGGAGAGGAAACTGCTGCCTGCCTCCGTTTTGCACCCTGCACTTTTTGCACTTGCACTTTTGTAGTCATTGAAAAAACAAAAGTAAACTGTGGACCACAAGTACCGGTCTGTGTCTGGATTTGTTTTTTACCTTGCTCACTGAACCCCAAGCCGCTCACGGTCAACCTACATTACATTTGGATCCCACGTCTGACACCAAATGTAACGTCGGTTGACCATGAGCGCGGCTTTAATTATTATTATTATTATTATTATAATAATAATAATAATAATAATAATAATTAGTAGTAGTAGTAGTAGTAGTAGTAGTAGTAGTAGTAGTAGTAGTAGTAGTAGTAGTAGTAGTAGTAATAATAGTAGTAGTAATAGTAGTAGTAGTAGTAGTTGTTGTGATAGTATTATTCATAATAATATAGTTTGTGTTAAATAGCATTCTTTTTATGCTACTGTCTTTTTCTCTGTTTCAGTTAGAAAAGTGGCTTTCTCTGCTGCATTGCTGGAGTCAGGTGACAAGTTTTTTGGACCATTTAATACTGATACTACTCTTGTGTATAAGTATGTTACCACAAACTTTGGACATGGCTACAACTCAACAACAGGTAAATTAACGTAAACATCATTCAAAGCTACGTCTTTATAATACTGTTCAAAACTTCCTTTAGGCATCTTCACTGCCCCGGTCAAAGGAGTGTACCACTTTGAGATTTTTGCACTATGCAATTCTGGTCACCCTGCTGAAGCTTATCTGATGAAAAATGGGTGTGGTGTGTTTATGGCGCATGAAAGCAATGGTTCTGGATGCACCACTGCGGGGAATGCAGTCTCACTGTCTCTGGAGTCTGGAGATGTGGTCTATGTCGTTTTGCCTGCCAGCCGCAAACTTTATGACAACCATCATCGCCACAACACATTCAGTGGTCACCTGCTGTTCACACTGTAATATGTGCTTCTTCCTCTTATCTGGGACTGGGTCATATGAGCTGCAGCTGGGACTCCCAGACTTCCCTTCCCCAGACTTCCTCCAGCTCCTCCAGGTTGAAAATCATGTTGGCCTATAAAAGCATGCAATAATAAAATACAACTTTAATCTCTTAAGAAGTAGGGGACTTTTCTTGATTGAATGAATGAATGTCTTATATCCACTATCTGATAAAAGGAAGCTGGTAAAACATGAATGAACAGCTGTAGCACACAGATTTTCAGTCAAATCAACCTTTCAGAGAAGAATCAGAAGAATCAGAATCAAATATGACTTGATTATGACTTAATTATAATAAAAGTGCAAATACGGGTTTAAAATCTACAAAAAAAATAAAAAATAAAAAGCAGTTACCCCAAAAATCTATTCAATTACAGTGCCTTTGCATGCCTGCTTATAATGTAGACATAGGAAAGGGTTCAAATCTGGTTGGCCACTCCAGGTCCAGGTAAATAACCAGTTTGTTTAATTTTACTCATAATATTGCACTTTTTTTCTTCTTTTTTTTTTAAGCGAGAAAGATAAATATTTAAACATTTCTTATCCTGGAGCCATCTCAGTGAAAAAAGTCTGGATATGCATGGGTTTACAGACCCCATATGTTTACTCCTATTAAGTAATATATTCTACAGTGTAACAGTACTTCTGCTTGAGTAATATATTTTTATTGAAGTAACAGCACTCTTAGCAAAAGTTGTGGTTCCTCTTCTCACTGTAAGTAAGTCTAGAAGTGACAAAAGCTTTATGTTGACAATATGAAGTGAACATTTGTGTCTCTTGCTCCGTTCCTTCAGATATGATTTAGTTTGCCTCATTTTTGTATCTATCCTTTGAAAATGCCAGATTTTGTGAACTGGCCTGTTTAATGTTGTGTTCTACGAATTAGGCCTACATTCACTTTAAATTTGAAATCAGATATTAAGGCCAGACAGGTACCATTACATGAGTAGTAGTTTTGTAGTTTTATTGTAATATATCGGACCACTACTATGTATTTCTTCTTGAGTCTTTTTTTTCACCTCTGCTCTTCTAAAACGTCCCACAGCTCTCCGGGAGGGGGCGGTGTCACACATATAAATTCTGTCACTTCCTCTCCAGACCGGAAAAACACACCAGCGTGGTTCCGCTCTGTCTGTCGCCAGCTCGTGCTTATCTTTTAAATTACTTTTTCTGCAAAACATTACTGAAAATCAAACCGTGGAAGATGGCCAACGACAACACGAAACTCTCCAAAAACCTGCTCCGAATGAAGGTGAGAAATAATCAAGTTTTTACAAGATTTACATAAAAAGAACGCCTTGTTTACGTCTCGGCTTCACACACCACGTTTAAAGAGCCTGATATTTTAAGAACAAATTACATTATTAAGGTTTATGTTGGCTGTAATTTAGATTGTATGTTCTATGTTGTAATGTTTGTTTTGCCATTTAATAATAAACGAATATACATAATTGGAATGAATAGGTATTATAGATTCATTGGTAGGACTTATGGGTAGATTTATTTTTATTAAAATTTTGACATTCAAATACGATATACAAAGCAAAAAGAGAAAAGTTATAAGACATAATGTTGACGTGAGAGCGGAGGATGCAGAGGAGAGGGACAGATGGAGCAGAGGGTACAGAGGAGAGGGTACAGAGAGATCAGGATGCAGAGAGGAGAGGTTCAAATGGATCAGAGAATGCAGAAGACAGAGGAGAGGGACCGGAAAGGGACAGATGGATCAGAGGATGCAGAGAGGAGAGGTTCAGGTGGAGCAGAGGAGACGGATAGAGGAGACGGAGGATGCAGATGAGATGGTTAGAGGAGCAGAGGATGCAGAGGAGAGGTTCCGATGAAACAGAGGAGACGGACAGATGGATCAGAGGATGCAGAGGAGACGGACAGATGGATTAGAGGATGCAGAGGAGACGGACAGATGGATTAGAGGATGCAGAGGAGACGGACAGATGATGCAGAGGATTGACTCTGGTCTTGTTTCAGTTCATGCAGAGGGGACTTGATGCAGAGACGAAGAAGCAGTTGGAGGAGGATGAGAGGAGGATCATCAGTGACGAGCACTGGTACCTGGACCTGCCTGAACTCAAGGCCAAAGAGTAAGTCACTGTTTATTGCTGCTGAACCAACAATAGCAATTTAAAATTGTCACGATAACATTTCAACCTCACTCAATAGACTCGAAACAATAATGATAGTAAAAAAAACAAACAAAAAAACTCTTTATTTAGACAATACAATGTGATTTTCAACATTAAATCTTAGTATTTTCCCTTCTATTTTTCTAGTTTTTCTGTCATCTGTAAAAATGTTGAATAAATAAAATGTTTGGATGACTTCAGTAGTTGAAATAAAACTTTGACTTTGAGCACAAAAGGATCAAAGGTTTGTAGTAATCTGTATGTGCGTTTCTGTTTATGGGCACCATTTTGAGGACTTTTGACTACACAAATGCTACTTTTGCATTAGTCTGAAATTCCTGATTATTTGTGTTTTCAGAAACCTGATTGTTGAGGAGAAGAGTATTGTTCCCTGTGAAGACCTGAGATACGGGCGAGTGTCATTTATGGGATTTAACCCAGAAGTCGAGGTCAATGAGGCTAAAATATGTTTTTTATTAATAATTTTTATTTTAAACTTAATCTTGAAACTTATTTTTGTTGTGTTTGCAGAAGTTGATGGCTCTGATGAATCCTAAAGAAGAGACTGAGGAAGATGAGGAGGAGGAGGACTTCAGGAAAATGCAAACGGACGTCACGGATGAAGACATGGCTCTCAGGTAACGGAGACAAACCTGATGTAACTTTTTAGAAATAAAAACATTTGTTTAAATGTAAAAAAATAAATAAATAAATAAACAACAAATGCCATGATCCTGATGAACCAAAAGTACTATAATTTATTTTTAACCTACCCATCATTTAATCAGTTTTACTTGTGATGTCATCAGGTGGTAATCCTGAAAATCTATTTTGACAATTCGGACAAGCATTTGCGTTTTATGGTTTATGTTGCAAATCCTCATCTAATCTTTAATTGGATTTGCATTTCATATTTTTATAATAGGGTTCTGTTCAAAGTTCACATTTTAAACGCTGTCCATTCAGATTGTGATTCTGATTACAATAAATCTTGCAGCTCTTATCTGAAACCTTACACCAGACTCTTCATCATTTCCATGTTCAAATTTCCATTTACATGTATTAAAAAATGACTCCATCAAATGCACCCAAGAATCCTACTATGCCACATCTGTGTTTCAGGTACGAGAGTTTGGTGAGCAGCATGAAGAAGAAGTTTGCAAAGAAAAGAGACAGAGCCATGATCGAAGAGGATTTAAATCAGAAAGTCACAAACACCAAGAGAGTCTTTTTGAAACCTCAGGACTGAATCAAATACATGTGATTTTTATGTCAAACTGAAAATAAGATTTTTTTAATGACTGTGACTGTACAGTTTGTGAATGGATATTATATATCCCCTTTTTAAAAGAAAGTGATGGAACCATTAAAGGACCTGAACATGGAGGTCTTGTCATTGAGTTTTTTTATCTGTTCGATTTGAGTTTGGGGTTTTGGTATCAAGTCATGTTTTAAAGATCAAAGCTGCAGTAAATTTACAAGTTGAGAAGCAAAGAGTGGCCTGATTAACAGGTGTATTACCCAATCAGGGACATGCATGGTCTGTACGTATCAAAGCTGACATGGCTGCTTATGAGGAAAAAACAAAAGGACAAAAGATATCCTGAAAGTTCAGGTTGAATAAATTATTCCCAGCATTTATAAAATGAATTACTGCGCCGAGTGCTACAATTATCATGGGCTCCATTCATGTCTTCACCTCCCAGGTCTTCTCCAACTCTTATTTGAGCCCCTGGCATTTCTCTAGTTTCTTGTGTTCTTTCCTGATGTTCCCATCGCTTGGTATTACAATGTTGACCACCACAGCTTTGTTTTGTTCTGTTGCTTATCCAGCACCACTGTGGCTGGTTAGTATCTGGGAGTCCCACAGGGTCTTGGCTCAGTCATTCTCCACAACCACTGGAAGTGTTTTCCACCTTGACCTTCGCATCTCCAGCCTGTACTCTGCACAGATATTTCTGTACACTATGCCCGCCACTTGGTTACCTGGACGACTGAAGGTTTACTCAGAAATCAACATTAAAATGACAAAAAACAAACAAACAAATGCCTCATGTTTTTGTTTTTATTTGATATCTTCTTTTTACAGCAAAGTCGTTGTGTTGTGTCTCAGAAATACAAAAACAGGCACTTCATAATAACTGCATTGTCCATAATAAAATAGCTTTAAATCTCTATATTTTACACATATTTACAATCTACACAAATGAAGAACACTGGTGATGGTTTATTACATTAGAACAGAACAGAGAAAGCATTAAAACAATGAAGGTGCATATGACAGGTTTTCATGTTTTTAGAATTTTTCTGAGATAGTACCGGTGGTCAATATTTATCGTAGTTTTACATCAGTTAAGTGACAGTTTGTGGAAAAAAGTTAGGAAGAAAAGCACAAAAATACAAGAACCTATGTCTACCCTTTTTAACATTATGATTGGTAACATGCCTCTACGATGTCCAACCAGGAAGTAAAATTATAAATAAATTAAAAAGATAGTTAACATCATTATATTTAAGATTTTTAGTAAAATCTTAAATATAATGATAGAGAAATGAGTAGTCAAACCTGCCATAAGCACTTTTAAGATGTGAGTAAACATGTGTATAAGCTGTAGCCTGCTCTATGCTTCTGTAAATGTGTAAGTAATCAAAGTGATAATACAAAAAGTACTGCTGCTACTAACAATTATTTTAGTAGTCAACTAGTCGGTGCTTATTTTTTCAGCTGATTAACTAGTCAAACCATTATTTATACTGGAACATTTTGGGGAAGGGTCCATCATCTGCTTGTCTCCATATTGCTTTGACTGGAATGTTCCACCATATGGTGTTAAAATTCCTTATCTTACATTTACTAAATTACAGATGTTTTTGATGCTCTGAAAAACATACATTCTTGTGAGTGGGCTTGCATGTACACAGATCTGGCATTACCTGCTTATCTTCATGGCAGACAAGACAGATGTTTAATACCACACTGTCACTGTGGAACCTTCCAGGCAAAAAATAACACCTCCATGGAGACGAGCAGATGAGATTGTCCACCAGAAAGTTTACACAGTGTACCTTTAAGGCTAAAAGAGGCCCCTTGGAGGTTTCATGTTGAATACAAATAAGGGGCATTCCCAATTCAAATTACATTGTTCTTGATTAACTTATTAACATATTTTTCTTTAGACTTCAAATAACTATTATTTAAGTCAATAATAATTTCAGTAGTTTATAAAAAAAATTAAAAAAAACTTCATTCAACCGATTTCAGTCAATGTTTAAAAATGTATGTGATTTTAAGGTGTCAAAGTTATTGATAACATGTTTGTTAAAGGTGCAGTGTGTAACTTTTCTGTTGGGAGATTTGCCACCATGCTTGTCTCCATGGAGATGTTTTGACTAGAATGTTCCACAGCTTGACATTAAACCTATTCAATCCCTAGTGTTGTTGGTGCTAAAAGTTCCCACTTGACAGATCTGACCTGTAATTGGGCACTAGCTAATGCCATACTGTGGAACATTGCAGGCAAAGCAATTACATCTCCATAGAGACAAGCAGGTGGCTCCACCCCAAAAATTACATAGTGCACTTTTATCTTTGCTGATGAACATGAGCTGTTTTATTTAAAAGGTAACATTAAGTGCTAGAATTGTTATTTTAGTTGAAGATTTATAATAAAATGGATTGTCTCACAAGAATAAACCAAAAACAGTGTGATTATAAAATAAGACACTGTTGTTATCACTAATATCACTGTTGTGACAGGTCATTACTGTATTTTGCAATTTTTCTTTACAAAAGTGTAAAGTTAGGGGATTAAAACAGGATATAATATAGAATGAAACCAGACTAAACCAGAACTAAACCAGGTCTAAACTAAGGCTAAACCAAGGGTAAACCAGGACTAAAACAGGACTAAACCTGAAGGACTTTAGTCTTAGCTTGAAGCTTTTAAGAGTCCTGGGTAGGAGTAGTTCATTTTTGAAATTATTGTTCTTATTATTTTGACTTGTACAGCCAAACATTTAAAGGTGGTATTTGAAGTTCCAGATAATTACAGCTCTAAAAATCTCTTGTTGTATTTATGATGTCCCACTCCATGGCGCCTCTCAGTGGTTGGAGTTGCGGTCGTTTGCCACATCCTGGAGCCGTCGTAGCAGAGCAGAGCTGTCAGGACACAGGCGCTTGGGCGCAGTTTCCTCTTCTGCACACAGGGGGCGCTTTCTGCTTGGACTCTCTCCAGACCGGATCAAAGAGTTGATCTCCTGTAAGCGCTGACGAACCAGACACAGAGAGGTTAGAACTAGTACTGGATCTGGACTCATCCAGGACTGAACCAGGACTGAACCATAACTGAATCAAGGTTAAAATAGGACTAAACTAGAACTAAACCAGGACTGAACCAGGACTAAACCAGACAAGGAGGTTAGAACCACAGAAATATTATGAAAAGTGGATATAAAAAGTAAAAGTATTTGGGTTGCCAGTACCTTCTAATACACTGGCATGTCAGGTCTAATACACTGGTATGTCTTGGTCACCCATGAGGGCCAAGAAAAATATGTTTGAGAGCCATAGTTTGAACAAGTCAAGTCTAAGCTTTAAAACAAGGTCTAACATGCCCAAGTGGAATATTAGCCATATCAGTCAGATTTTGGACAATAGCCAGGATTTGCAAGTGTCCATATCGGTACATGTACTGACTAAGATCTGCCTAAATCCCATTCCCAATAGACGTGCAGGAAAATATTAGATCTGTGTTTAGATGTGTCCTCACTGATTTTCCATGAGCAGTGATGATAAACTATGGCCTCTCCACAAAGCACGCTTTGTTTTGGTTTGCTGTGTTTAAGTGAAATAAGAACGACAGGAGCTTGAATATGTTTATTTGTGCGGCGGAGAGGAAATAACATGAAAAGAAGACCTACTGTGCTTGCGTCTGCTATATATTTGTAATCTATGACACCCATGGATCATTAAGTTATAATCTGCACATTTTAAATCGCAATATGCATCTAAAAGCGTATTGCGATTTAAACAAGTCCGTTAACTTCTGCGTTAGAAAACTGTGGTCCCCAAAGAGAGCTGATGTTGCTGTAAACATCACAGCGCTGCCTACTATTGGTCCACTCGGATTTATCTCTGCATGTAAATGTAGTGATTGGATAGTCCATTGAAGCCTTACATGAGGTGGACTGCTGCCGATGTAGTAGCAGAGTTTGTCTTTAGGTGGCGGTGTGGAGTTGAGGTTGTGAGGTGAGATATAGATGGAGTGTTTGGAGGACAGAAGCATCCTGCGGGGGGAGCCACTCCTCAGACTGGGGTACGGCACCACGGGGGGAGAGTTCTGTGGAGAACACAGAACAGGGTTAGGGTTGGGTTAAAGGTCACGTTACAGGTCAGGTTAAAGGCATTTACTCTTTACAGTAGTGGGCTAAAGGCGTGTGAGGTGAAATGAAGCTAAACAGTTATAGGGGCAAATTTGAAGCCAAGTTCCATATTTAAAATTCCAACCAAAACTCAAGAGCCAATCAGGAGAGAGGCTATTGAAGATAACATGCCTTTTCACCCGCAAAATAGTGAAACAAAACAAAACAAAACAGGATCATGTATTGCAGGTTAATACAGGTTAAGACAAAAATGATGACCCTGATAGCAGCAGTTACAAAGAGATGGGGGCAGTCTTATGGTCCTGTTTAGGACTTTGATTTTCAACAAAAAGGTGAAGGAATTGTAGAGCAAAGTGTCTCATCTGTTTAATGTGCATGTTATTGTAAAAGTGAATCAGGTCTCCACTCTCCTCCTCCTCAGAAGCAGAAACTGAAAAACTATAATGTTATGAGAGGGAGTTATTTAATAGTACAAATAAGCTCCCCTGTCATAGTTCAAGCTACGTCAGTTCTGTATGGTCAGAATGAATTAAAACGAAGATCAGATTAAAGTGTAACTTGGGGTTTAATCTTTTATTGTGAAGCTAATTATCTTGCAAGGACAATTAACAGTAGTTCAGAGCTTATTTAAATACAAATAAAAGTATAAATATGTGTACTCACTGCAGCAGAGCCAGAGCCGGGAGAGAATCGAAGAGCAAAGTGTCTCATCTGTTTAATGTACACGTTATTGTAGAAGTGAATCAGGTCTCCTCTCTCCTCCCCAATAGCGGTGTCAGTATCAGTATTAGTAGTATTGGTAGTGGTAGAAGTATTAGTAGAAGTATTTAAATTGGTTGGAGATGAGGAGATGGGTTGTTTGTTGTTGGTGGGAGAGAGAGAGGGCACTGGACTTTTTTCTCCACCTGCAAAGATACAAAAAATGTATAAATTAACCAAACTTAAACTGGCATGATTTAAAACATTTTAGATTTTTTAAGTTGCACTAGGTCTCCCTCAAAATGCTTGGTAATATGAAAGAAAATACAACAGCTTAATGTTTAAAAATTATATTCTTTTGTCTAAATAAAGAGTTTTTTATTATCATCATGGTATCAGAATCTGTATTGAGCATCGAGTCTTGGTTTAGTCCTGGTTTAGTCTTGTTTTAAACCTAATTGAGACCTGGTTTTGCTCTCCTGGTTTAACATGGCTTAGTTCTGGTTTAGTCCTGCTTTTCTGAGAAGTAGCTTGTCAAAAAAAAAAAAAAAAGACCCACAACTAGAAAAGTTACACAATGCAGCTTTAACCCACCTGTCTCCTGGCTGGTTTCATTAGAGTTTATTTTGGTGCTTGTTGGTCTTGTCCTTTCTGAGATCAGCACATTTCTGTAAACCTGAAAAAGATCATTATTAGATTATTATTATGCATTAGTTATTTCAGTCCTACACACTAGAAATGGCAGTAGTAAGTTTAACCATAGTTAGCTTAGCCTTACATTGCTGTTAGCTTGTGGCTGTGTCCGGTAGCACTTCATGATGTTCTGGAAAGACTTGTCCTCCTTTGTCACCTGCACAAACAAATGTAGAAAGAGTTCTTCACATTTTCAGTGTATTTTTGCCCAACTGGCTTCATGTGTGGTCCTGATTTAAACCTGTTTAAGTTCTAGTTTAGTTGTCTTGGTTTGGCTGGGGCTTAGTTCTGGTTGAGACCTGTCTGATTCTAGAATGACGTGGAATCGGATCACAGAGCACGGCAAACCTCTGTTCAAACTTGGGACGGTCCAATGAGATAAATCAGTTTTTTTTATTCCCTTTTTTAAATGCAAGTCGCCCTGTTTGTTTTGATACAAACAGACCACATGTCTCTCTGAGAGGTTAATGCGCCTGTCAGTCACACACACTTTACAACGTCAGGAATATTAACATTAGCTGAAAAATATCAATACTTTCCATAAAAAAAAAGTATAATGTAATATTTATGTAGTACCTTGGCGATGACGTAGATGGCGCACATGAGCAGCTGGTCCAGGTGTCGGTCCATGAGAAGCTGAGTGCAGTGAACCAGAGAAAACTCAAAACATGCCCAGATCTTCCTCCTCAGGTCTGACCCAATGTCCAGCTTTACACACAAGTCCCTCAAACGAACAGAAGCCAAATGGTACACCTGAGAACACACACACACATACAGACAGACAGACACACACACACACATACAAGTCCTGGTTTAGTTCTGGTTTAGACATGACTTAATCCTAGTTTAATTTTAGACCTGGTTCAGTCCTGGTTTATACCTGGTTTAGATTTGTTTTAGACCTGGTTTATACCCAGTTTTAACTGGGTTCAAATGGGTCCAGACCTGGTTTAATCCTAGTTTACACCTGGTGCCAAAATCAGTGTAAATCAGCCGCAAGACTCTTCACCACAACATCACGTGACTCTTCTGCAGGAATGTGCAAACAACACACTGGTCTGTTAAAAAGAACCTTTATTTGGAAATAAATCTAGTTAAAGCCTAGTTTCATCCTGGTTTAGTCTTGTTTTAGGCCTGATTAAATCCTGGTTCAAACCCAGTTTACACCTAGTTCAAACCAAATTTAGGGTTAGTCCTGATTCAGCCTTGGCATAGTCCTGATTAAATCCGGCTTTGTAGAATTTCAGATGTTGTGCAGGGGTTTATATAACTCTATGGGAGATTCACTGTTTTTGAAAGAAATCTCCAAAGTTAGGATCCACAAATGTTGAACCTTATCATTATTTGTTTGGGGTTCGCTCCACAAACTTGTCATATTAATGTTATGGCTTTAAGTCCTATTTTTTGTTTCATGTGAACAGAGATATTAACCATTAATCATAAATTTCTGACCTGTCGTCCAGCTCAGTTTAAACTATGTACACTTTATATTGTTAGAAAATCAACTCAAGCTCGTACCTTCCTGAAGAACAGAGAAAGGGACCCCTTCTTCACAGCGCTGGGGGCGGGGCTAGCATTGGGCTTTGGTGACGTTTTGGCAACTGGTTTGGCCACAGCAGATTGGACGGTGAAAGTCCCGGTTAATGCCTGTGCTGTGATTGGCTGAAGAGTGGCTCCTCCCTGTGGCGTTACATTCACAGGGGCGGGGAGAATGAACGTAATACCTCCACTCTGATTGGCTATCCCTGCAAGATCAACAAGATAGTTTTTAATAAAATAAGAGACCTCTGACCCTCTCCTCTGTATTTTCTGTTCCATCTGACCCTCTCCTCTGCATCCTTACCGGGCACAGGTATAGTCAGGGTCTGTCCATTGTTAGCTGAGTAAGTTGCCGTAGCCACCACAGTCTGTCCGGAGGGGATGGAGCTCACGATGGTTGTCTTTCCTTGGGCAGAGGGGGAGAGAGAGGGGAGAGAGGAGGGAAGAGAGGACACTGTTCTGGGTGGGACAGGGGATGAGGAAGAGGGGATTTTGGGGCTGGTCTCTGGAGGGTCCACAAACAGGCGTCGTTTAAAGGTGGCCGGAGGAGAGCTGTAGCGGTCCATAAGAGTCGTGGGTGATGGTGAAACTCCTGCAACGAAAATGAAAACTTGGTTAAAAACTTGGTTAAGCTGTTGTCTGATCTATGTTATAATTTTGTTTCCTCATCACAAACATAATTGGAGTTGTGTTTTGTTTCTTGCACACATGTTTAACACACAAACCCTGCATGTTCTTCCCTCAAACAGAAAGCACTTCCACCTTGTGATTTTATGTGTATAGGAAGTGTATTGTCAAAGAGTGTGGTTTTGGCTGGCCAGGTAAGTTATTGGTTACTTTCATATTTTCCTATTTTTATATTGTAAGTAAGTACGTTTTTTATTTATATAGCGCTTTTCACAGACATATGCCACAAAGACACTTGCATTATTCAGTCACTCCATACTCAGTGGTAGTAAGCTACTATTGTAGCCATAGCTGCCCTGGGACAGACTGACTGAAGCGTGGCTGCCAATCAACATCATCGTTCCCTCTGACCACCACCAACACTCACACACACCACTTTCATACTAGGCAATGTGGGTGAAGTGTCTTGCCTAAGAACACAACAACAGTTTGTCCCACTGTGGCACTTGATTTTCCCAGGAATCCTATCCAAGTACTACCCAGGCCTGGCCTTGCTTAGTTTCTGAGATCAGACGAGATCAGGCTTTGACAAGCTGGTATGGCTTTTACTATTGTAATAGTAAAAGCGTGTGTGTAGTGTGGAGTATAGATTGTACCTTTGCTGGTGCTGTTTGAGTTCAGGTCTGGTCCCTGGTTCACTGGGGTCAAAGGAAGGGCCACAGAGCTGCTCTCTTCACTCTGCTCTAGGTACTGAGGAGGCATCACCTGAAACACAACATATGTCAGGAACAGTGAAGCAGGAGCAAGTTACACAGTATGGGATGACAGTACTTGGATCACTTTTTAGTAAAAGTAATGTTATTAGTTGCAATTTTAAATAGAGTAATAGAGTAGACTACAGTTACTAGCCTAAGTAACTTACAGTTACTTATTTCCCGGCCAAAAATGTGTGAGTAGTGTCATAAAACGAGTGAAACAACTGAAACTTTTTATAAAAACATCTTGTACCTCTTTACAGGAGGGCACTTGGTCCTTGTTGGCCTTCACACTGTCCCACAGAGGAGAGTCCCGGGTCCATGCCAAACTGTCCAAAACCTGCTCCTCAATCTGATTCAAATGTTTGACCACTTCCCGAAACAGGCTCTGCTCTGACCGGACCAAGACCTCGATCACCTACAGCACACACAAAAGGCACGTTAATACTTCATGATACAGAAAAATACAGAGGTTCTAAACACTGTACTTCAGAGTAGAGATATAATAACATTGCAAAATATAAAAAAGCTAAGGTTCCCTGGGAGAATTCAATGCATTGAGCTTGTAATTCAAAATATTGTAATGTTTTCATTATACTGGGGCTATTATAGCATCTCTAAAATTATATTATATCTGAAAGAGAAGTTCTTGTCCTGCCTTATAGAAATTAAAAGCTGGTATGTGTATTTTCTATGCTGTTTTTGAATAGTCCAATTGCTTTGTGATTTATGTTTTAATAATAGGATTCTGCTCAAAGTTCAAATTTTAAACATGTCCAGAAGAATTGACAAAAAGACTGAAATCTGAATTGACAAACGAATACAAGAATCACATTTCAGAACATGTTTGTACTGATCTAAACTACAGGATTAGCAGTTTAGCAGAGATTTTATTATTTGTGGAGAAACATTGCAGCCTTGGGATTGCTAAAACCCTGGGATTTGCTAGTTGCATTCAAATCATGATTTAGATTTGATTGCAATTAAACTTGCAACACTAAAGCCATGTAAAAGTGCTTGTATTTTAGTATCGTTGCTGTACCTCATGGAAGTGAAACGATGGGATTTGCAGTTTTTATGCTGTTTTAGTGTAGCTGTGTAGCTTTTATTCTTGTAAATTGTAGTACAATATAGAAGTGTATGTTTTAGAATAACACCTGCACCACATAGAAGTGGAATGCTGGGATACATAGTTTTTATGCTTGTGTAGTTGCTGTACCTTATAGAAGTGAAACGCTGGGAGGCTGAAGATGTTGATGACTTTGGGGAAATCTCCTGGAGGTCTGTAGGAAAAGAGGACGATCTCGACACAACACACGACGAGAGAGCGCTGGAACAGGTCCTGCTCAAAGACACTCTGGAACACAAATTATAGATTAAATCAATTGAATTCAGAATATGTATGTTCTTTATCGACTGTTACAAACTTTTAAGCATGTTATAATGATCTGAGTTGTATTTTGACTGATTCATAGATGTTTAAGTAATCCTGCTTGAGCACTTTACCAACCTCCTATGTGATATCTATACTTTGGCTTTAAGTATACCCGACACAGGGATGAAAAATTGCAGTTATTTCTTAGAACACAGTTAACTTATATCACAAAAGATCCAGTTGTGTTATTCAACTGTTACTTATCCTTCAAATCACTACTGAACAGGCTAAAATCAGCTTGTATATTGTCTTATGACATTCAATTAAAGCCTCTACCAGAATATCGACTGAAGTGATATCATGGAACAGAGACCTGATCCAGCAAATTTGCAGTATTAACGTGGATATTCAGTATCAGAGCATCCCTAAAACTAACCTAAACAACTGACTTCATTTGAACTCATGTACATCTTCATCACTATTATCTATTATGTGTGTACACAACACCCACAAGACTGCACTGTTAAATGTCCATTCTTGTTACTGTACTCACAGATAGATCAGTTTCTCCCAGGATCCCCTTTTCTCTGTCGATGATGGACTCCAGAATTCTGTAATATAGAGTCTCCGCCAGACCAAAGTATTTCACCGCCATGTCTGAAACAAAGGAATTTTAAAAGCTGTTCACCTTTGTAGTCTAAATTTACTTATAGATGTATTTTTACTTTTATGTGCATTAAATGCTAACACATAACATATTTAGTCATTGAAAATGCTATATTTGCCAGAAAAAAAATATAAACATGTGCTACAATTTTGCTTTCAGGGCTTTTTGAGACTCTGATTCAAAAGTCGTTCCCCCTTTAGAACACTATCACATACCAATTGGAGTGCCTTCTGCTAATGAAACTACTGCACATCCCATTAGGTTTGTGAAGCTGTAATGTACTTCTTTTTTATCATGCTTTTGGAAAATTGTCGTGTGGGAGCATGGGTGATGAAGGCTTGTGCGTGGGGCATTAGAGAAATCTTACTGCTAACCGGAAGGGGGGGTTGGAATAGGGCTCGGGAGAGATCGCTAGATTAATATTATTACTTTAATAAAAGTAAATAAATGCAACACTACAACACTGAAACACTACAGTTACATGTACAGAGTAGGGGTGGAAGGGTTGGAGTTGCCAGTGGCTTAGTGGGATCAGTAGGTCATTCTTAGAGCAATGTTGTAAAAAGCAATAAAGGGCAAAAGTGTAAGGCCTCATTATTATTTATGGAATATATACGGTAATAATGCATTAGTCTTATATACAGCTTTCCTGGACACTCAAAGACACTTTCAGTTTTCATGCATTATTCATTCACTCCACACTTGGTGGAGGCAAGTTACTATTGTAGCCACAGCTGTCCTGGGGCAGACTGACAGAAGTGAGGCTACCAATCTGCCACCACCACTGCCCTGATCTTTACTTACCTTTGCCCATGCCTCTGCTTTCCTCTGCACTGCTCTCAAAATGTTGAGAGAAAGTTTCAGCCATCTCCTTCAAACGCAGACTGATGCATTCTGTGGGGTCTCTGGTACATGCTCTAAAACACAGAAGAATAAGGACTGTTATTAGGGCTGAAAGATTAATAACCATTGCAATTTGTATTAACATTTGAGGAACAAATGTAATACGACTCATGCATTTCAGTCATTAGACAAACTTGCATTTGTTCAATAACAGCTACAACTACGGCTTATGACTGAAAAAACTTGTTTTCTGACTGTGACCTCGGTCTTCTCTCCACAGATCTATCCTGTAACTTGGCACCTCACCAACCGCTTGTCTCCATAGAAATGTTGTGGAAAATGACAAAGAACGTAATTAACTCTATAAGGAGACAAGTAAGGGTATATACACTAGTATATACAGAGTACAGTACATACGCCACCAGAAAAGTTATAAAAAGCTCCTTTAAATACATTAACTGTTAGCCATTTGTTAATTGCAACACTTTAGATTGTACTTTAAATATGATTAGGATTTTGATCTTACTGCCAACTTATTCTATATTTATCTCAGTTTGGTAATACTATATTTCATTTAGATATTCAAACAAGCAACTGTTATGTTTACTTGAGTATGCTGGAGAGCTTGTGGCTGGGTCCCTGTTTGGTCCCTGACAGAAGCGTATGCAGACGGCCCACACTCTTCAGAGCAGCGGAGATGGGAGAACAGAGACTGTTCTCCTGCACGTACTTCCTCCCAGTCAGAGGAGTGGACACCTTCAGAGCAGATGCCTGAAAACAAACACAAGATTATATTTAAATTAGGGCAAAATATGAAACCATTGTGATTGCTGAAACCAACTGGATTGAGAGACTTTATTGAGAGATTACAATTTTCTGACAAGCATTGTGATTTATGTTTTAATAAAAGGATCCTGTTCATTTTTTAATGAATAGAAGAATTAATAAAAGACTGAAATATAAACTGACAAATTAATATAAGAATGACATTTCAGAACATGTTTGTGAAAATCTAGACTACAGGGTTAGCAGTTTTTAAGCAGAACAGACAGGAGTTTTTGTTGTTTGTTGGCAACATTATGGGTATGATCATACTTCAAGAATTGCAGCCTTTGAGATTGTGATTTTGATTTGCAATTAATCTTGCGGCCCTGACTGTATGGCATTAAACATGTGACTTGTGCATAATGTAGGAAATGTATGTACTGTAGCCTGTGCTCTTACTGTTTTATAAAAGGTACTATAATCAAGATTCTACAATCACAACCCATCCTGTGTTGCCAGAGCATTAACCTGCAGATAGAGGACAAATACAAGTTTGTCTCATTCTCAGTATATGGACAGGTCATGTCTCATGTGAAAGCTCAGAACCTCCAGAATTCCCTCACTGAACTGCAGAAGCTGCACTAGCACTGAGTCATGATTGGCTGGAGGTGCTGGAGTGGGAGCGACCATTCAGATCACAGAGAGGCATTTTCAGTTTAAACCAACTGGATTTCAGCATTTGGATTGCATTGGCTCATTCTGCTTTCTGTCTGGATAATCATCTTGAGAACCAAAATATAAATTTATAACACAAACAACCTTGACCATCATGTCCAATGTTTTTGTAATGATGAATATATTAGATTTGCAATTGTTATCAGCAAAAGTTATATTTGATTTGAACATGTCTACCTCAAAACTAATGAACTGTATATAACAAATCAAAATGTTATATACAGTTCCTTTAACATGCAATGTCTCCATGAAATAAAACTGTTATAATTTTAAAGAGATTTATAATGTAAGTGATTTTTCCATGGATCTATTAAATTGACTGGATAGGGCATGGCTATCTTAGACCTAGTGGAATTATCTTATCTTAGACTAAGTGGAGATTAGTGGAAACTCAGTGGTACTGCAGTGAAAAAATCTCATCCTGTACAGAAAGCATATTTCCCATACAGCGCAATGTAAACACAAACAGTTCGTGTTCAGCTGACAGGGACTGATAGGGGTTGACAGGGACTGACAGGGACCTACAGCTTTCACAAAGTTTGGATTTTGTGTCATATTTTACCTATTTTAAGATGATAAACCTTTTCTCTGTTCAAAATCCTTCAGTTGTCTTAACCTTTAATTAATGTTAATGGGCGGCCATGTTTCGGCCTTGGACTAGGCATGGAGGTTTCCCTGTCTATGGTGTCTTACAGTGAGACTGGAGTGCAGCCTGTAGGTGGCGTTGTCCTGGTTCTCCTCGCCCTCACACAGACAGGGTCCTGGGGTTCCGATGTCCTCTCTCGCTCCGTCTCCAGTGAAGATTCTCTCATCCAAACCTCCAGAGGCCAATACATGCTCCTCATAAGCACGATTCAACCCTGTACTGTGGAGGAACACAACACAAGGACGTTTTTTTTCCCCTCTTTTGTAAATTTTGTTCTCTCTTGTTACTGGGTCTATTTTTGATCTTACTCCCCATGATTTTGAATTTCACATGTATTTCTATTTGAATAAATCAGTGGTACTTACAAACTGTCTCCAAAGTTCATAGGATCCAGAAACCCAGTCAGCGTGTCCTCTTTACCCCTAAGAATCTACAAAGAATAAAAAACTGTGGCCTTAGGACAGCTGAATAGGACACAACATTTATACAAGATAAGTGCGCAACAAATCGTCAGTCCTGGAATGATCTATAATTACAGCATTATTGATATCAGATATTTATTAGATTTTCAGAGTACATTTTACAGTGCACTATGTAACTTTTCTGGTGGAGGTGATGCCACCTGTTTGTGTCCATGGAGACGCAATTGTTTTGTCTAGAATGTTCCAAAGTAAGGAATTAAATATTTATTCAGCTAGAGGTGTTTTTATAATCAAAATCCCTTGAAAAACACATATTCTTTTGTAAGCAGTCTGGCCTCTCCACAGATCTGACCTGTAATTTGACTTAATCTTGCCACACACTTGTTCCCTAAAGATTAATACCACTGGAGCATTCTAGACAAAGGAATAACATCTTCATGGAAGCAGGTGGCCCCTCCTCCCCTCTCATTCTCTTCTTTGATCCCCCAGGTACTGCCCAGTTTAGCAGCTTTATTTAAAATGTGGTTGTGGGTGGAGTTTAGGTATTTAGTGTCACTTTAATTAAGACGTGTGTAAGATATAGTAGACAACATGTATTGACTGACTGATTTATTTTCTGTTACCCTTTTGTGCATTAGCTTCTTGATGAATGGTTTCCAGAAGTGTTCTTTGACGCCTTTAGCCTCGAGGATCAGGCCATGGTGCAGGTCACAAAGAGGCTGCAGGAAACAGAGAGGAGCTGAGGGCCTGAAGTCCTTAGAGCTGAAGTCCTCCGGGAGACCTGAGGGGGCACCATAGAGCAAGGAAGATTAGTTGATGACTGTCGATCGACTAATCGAGGTAGGGGTGTGCTAACATATTGAAATATTCATATACTGTGATACTAAATTTCGTGATAGTGTGTCGATATCGTGGGCTGCTGTATTGATATATCTCCAAGAGTACTTTTGGTATATTTCACGAAATTATTTTGTGGCATTGCTATAATTTTTCTTGTTTGGAGGAGGGAAACTTATATGCAATATATTTGACATATTCACTGTTTTGATCCAGGCAGTGGTTTAACAAAGAAATACTGATGTTAAATTGTATTTGTTCTTAAAATAATATTACACTGCAAAATGTCATGTGCAATATAGCGGTTATCGCATGTATCACCATATTGTTCATATCGATATTCATAATCATATTGTGAGCCATGTATCGTGTAGTCAATGATGTCTTAGTTGACCGTAATTAGTAATTAGTAATTAGTATTAGTCCACTCATTATTATATTATCAAAACATTATTATATTTTGATTATAAGGATTTAATATTTTTGTACAAATAGTTATTTTTGCATGAACTCTTGTGCAAGTGAAGTATTGTGAGTGTAGTTTGGGTCAGATGCATAGAGATACATGATAGTACTGAGAGCTTTTGTCACTTCCCTTTTTGTCAACTAATTGAATCGGAATAACTACTATTATTGATTAAGTGAATAATCTTTTGGATCACAATTCTGTGGTGGCAAACTTAATCAGTTAACTGTCTTGCAATATTATTATATATATTATTATATAAACATTTAAAAACGTTTTTTTTTCATGTGGCTGAGGTAATTTTGACATGTAGAAAAATAAAACAATGCCATAAACTGTACTCAGAGTTACACTGCAGATTTCTCAAGCACATTATCAGCAGCAGGAAGCCACAGGTTTAACAGGAAAACTCAACAATTTATACACACATGACATTTTCAATAGTTTAACTTAAGACATGAACAGGAGCAAGAGGTGAATTTATTTTACTAATATGATTTAGTGCACACTGAGATAAGCACACTTCCTTAAACTGTTGAAGTAAATCGGGAAGAATAGTTTTAAGCAGTGGGCCAATAGCCTTTTTCATGCAGCTGAGAGCTCTCCACCAAAGGAAGAGCCCGTTTTCTGCTCACATGATCTACATTTATCAGGGAATCAAAATTAATTTGTTGCCATTCGTATTTCTTGTACATTTGGGTTGGCAACTTCTCTCTGACACTTTTTGAGGTGAAAACAGCACACAGCTATTACACTGGGTGATGTATCCTCTGCTATCAGCCAATGGTGCATCTGGAAATATTCTTGACACCTATTCTTCAGCTTTTGCTGCGCTCCCAACTATGACCAAAGATGTGCTTCTTGGGAAATGATATATAGCTGAGTAGTTGCAGCATTTTAGACTTATTATGGTTACATTTTTATATACTGCATCTCCATCATAGATCTCACTACGTTTAAAATAGTTTAAATCAAGTCCTTAAATCCAGCCTGAGGCTGCACACATGTTGTCTAAGAGAGCCTGACCTGAGCAGTTTAACAATTATGTTCCATGTGGAGTTTTAGTGGCCTCGCTCAGACTGCCCCAGGTCCAGCTGTGATTGCAGTTGTGGTGACAGAAATGTGCGAACTGAATTGCCCTTTGGGATTAATAAAGTTGTTGACTGATTGATTGCTTGACTCAGTGCTGCTCTGTTGTTGTAGTCACCTCCTTTGAAGATGCACACTGGAGTGTTCACAATATAACTATTTATTAAGGGAAAAGGCATCCTGCATTAATAGACTCACAACCTAAAGCAGTTACTGTTACTATCTATTACTTTGAATTATACAGTGCAGCCACCAGATCGCAGCTGCACCACTGAGTCTCTTTCATCTTCTCCTTACTTCAGCCACACACTTTCATTCATACACCTTCTTCATGTAGCATTTTTGAGCACTTTATTTAATTAGGAGCAGGTATTTTTCTATTGAGGGAAAAAAGCTGTCTCACAGTGGGCTCAGACCAAGAAATAAAAGCGTATTATGTAAGAGAAGTGAGTGAGATTCAGTACCTCTGAAGTTGGGGTTAAGCAGCTCCTTCCTGCAGGGGCAGTAGAGAGCGCAGCAGAGCACCAGGTCCACCGCACAGAGCAGCAGGTGGTACGAGTTCACCAGGTCATCGCTGATCATTGGGAAGTTTCCTGAAACCAGAATATGAATCAGGTACAGCTGATTTAAATCAAGTCTAGTCCTGAAAATGCCAAAAATGTTATGAGTGTGAACCTCTGATCTCAGCCACACAATAAAACTTACAGTGCTAAAGATGTCATGACAAGCTACTAGTGTAAATCATTCCCCTTTCTCAATAAACATGTGACACTTCACACTGAATACAATTTATGCAAAAGTGGCTCTGAAACAGGAGCTAAACCCTGGTCTTAAATCATGAGTCCACACAGAAGCCTCTGGTCCAGCTGAACAGGTCTGGACTTGCCTCGGTCTAAATCAGTCCTTTTGTAATCCACAGCAGGAGCCTCTCTCTGATTGGATGAGAAATCACCACGACGACAGCAGCCTCACTGGAGTCCAGCTTTAGAAAAACTCACTTAAATTTGACTTCTAGAACCAGGAGGAGTTTGGCTGTGGTTCTTACCTTTGGCATGGACAAACAGAACCCAGCAGAAGTGAAAGAGCTCAGGCACAGTGCAGGGGTGTCGTCTGCAAAACAAAAGTGCACATTTAGTGATTATCAATATAGATCATTCAGACTAAAAAAAAAATATATTTTTTTATTTATTTATTTGTTTAAAGGGGACATATTATATTGACACTTTGCAGCTGATATCATTGACATCACAATGACCCCGTTTGATTTTTAACAAACGTGACTAACTGAAAAACTGTTGGCTAATGCTAGCTAGTTTGTGACTGTAATGCTATATGTTTAACGAAACAAATCAGCTCACTTGTTGTAGTTCCAACTAAGTCAGTGCTTTCTGGTAAAATAAAGCTCAGATTTACTGTAAGTGTACAAAGCCTTAGACAGAGCAGTGCCTATAGTTATCATCCCACCCCTAGAAATTTTGATGACATCAGCTGCAAAGTACTTATAAGAGCAGGTGTCTCTGTTCCCCTCACCTCTGCTTCCTGCTGCGGTGGACTCGGGCAGGCTCTTCACTCGGAGCTTTGAAAATGGCTTTGAAAATGGGCACGTATTTCCTGAAGATGACGGCAGAGACAGTGAAGTTTCTTTCCAGTTTGTCTGTGCTCCGACAAAAGTCCTCAGGCAAGTTCACCATGTCCTGCCACTTCTTCATCTTGTTAAAGAACTCAATCAGGCTGAAGGAGAGGAGGAGGAAGGACACACCAGGTAAAACAACTTGTAATTGTTATTCAGTTATTATTAAAGATAGGGCATTTTACTTCTATGAGGTACAGTATGAACTGTTAACACATCACCGTGTTGTCCTTTGCTATTTTGAAAATGCTATGCTCACTGGAAACACATTAACATGTTTTATAAGTGTCACTTTTGTTTTTGACACTCAGAGTGTCACCCTACCTTTGCTCTCTGCATCGCATCCCGCTAATGATAACATTTGTCAAGTTGTATGCAGTTTTGTATCATGTTTTAGTATATTTATGGAGAATTGTCATGTGGGAGCATGGGTGACATAGGCGTATTGCTAACCATAAGGGGGATTCCAATAGAGCCAGAGAGAGATCTCTAAATGACTGAAACATGCATGGATCACGTCTAAAACCTCTTCAGGCATATTTTTGATGAGGCAACAACATAAAATAATAGAAAGTTCCAAAAATGTATTTTGCATAATACCTCATTACTAAACACATGGGTTGATATTGTCCCTATGGTTAAAAAAAAACAACTTAATGAATCTGTGCCATCAACCCGTCAGCCACCAGTGAACACTCACCACATTCATACATATATTTATATTCTGGCATAATCCATAGAATTGTCAAGGCATTTTAAAAGGAAAAAGTAGCATATTCACAATTTTGTTAGTCGACACAAACTATCACAGTAAATATTGTACTGAGATGCCTATCATGAAAGTACTATTCCCTAGTTTTTATATTCACCTCATGGGGGCGCTGCGCAGGATCCTGGTCAGAGACACATAGTTTCCCTCAGACGTGCCTTTGCTCACAGTGGGGACTGAAGAACGACAGGCAACATACAGAGCACACACCAACCAGTGTCTCTCATCTCCCTGAAAAAAAAAAAAAAAAAAAAAAAAAAACATTACAAATCGAAATAAGGCTTGTAAAGCTACACTATGTCACTTTTGTGATGGAGTATCCGCTATCTGCTGTCTCCAAGGAGATGTTAAAGCTTTGTCTAGAATGTTCCACAGTATGGCATTAAACCTATCTAGGATCAAACCAAATCTACATTAGGACTCAAAATGGGCCTAAACCTGGACCAAACCAGTACATGTATGAAAGGACATGCTATCTCCATGGAGACAAGAAGGTGACAGACCTGTGGAGAGGCGACCGCGTTCATATCTGTCTCAAGGTATTTATTTTAGCAATAAAAACAACTGTAAATGAAAACAAAAATACAAGACTGAATACTGTGGAACATTCTGCAAAGCTTTAGCTACAGATTTTGCACTGTAACAGCAGTTCTAATGTCTATGGAATATGGTGGATGCACAGGGAGCAGAGCTAGCTGTCAAACACTACCATACACCACTCAAATCCCCATAGGTTTTCAAAAAGTATTAAATAAACACATAGAGTTAAATGACTGCAAAAGATATACAGGTTCCATATTATGCTATTTTCTAATCTATGTAATAAAATCATTTCCTCATCAAAAACATTCACAAGTTTAACACAGAAATCCTGCATATTAATGCTGATTTCTTTCTAAATGAAAAGACTCCTATTCCACCTTGTGATGTCATGTACGAAAGTGCTCCATAATGCTTTTAAGCTCCATTCACTAAAATTATTTGGATGACTATAAAATACAGGGTTACTCAAACATGTGTGAATGAAACACAACCCCAGTAAGTAAGTAAGTTTATGATGGGGTAACAACATTCTAACATGGCTCATAATAAATCAATTTATTATGAAATCCAATAAATCCATTTTGTGTACACTGTAAAATCTAACATTAGGGTTAACTTGCATTCAGCTAGTTTACTTTACTCACAACTACAAATTTGTGGATCTTAATGATTGTGGTAAAGTAACAGTTACTTTCAAGGTTCAACTTGAATGAAACGAGTAACTTCAACAGTGATGTATTATTGCCAAGAGTCCAGCTCCATTTTCCAGTCTGTTCCGGTCCTCCTTTTGCCACCTCCCTGTTTTTCCTACAGCTGCCACTCATTCCCTGATCCTCCCAGGGCGTCCCTATATCCTCCCTCTGTTCAATCAGTCTCTATATCCTCCCTCTGTTCAATAAGTCTCTATATCCTCCTTCTGTTCAATCAGTCTCTATATCCTCCTTCTGTTCATTCACTCTTTGTCAGATTACACCTGTTTTTTTTTCTTCACCATTTTTGAGCCCTAAGTGTAGCAGTCTTGGTTGAGTTGACACTGAATGACCGAGCTCTATTATTTTATTGTCACACATGTTACAATGTGTTTTGAACTTAAGCTGAACAAAAGTTTTGCAATGTTTTTTTTTTTTTCAAAGACTAATAAATCTTCTAGTTCTTGTGTAGCTGATGCAGATCTAAATGGCATTATTGTAGAATAGAACCTGTTTTTACTCTAACTTGTGTGTAAAAGTAACATTTACTTGCTGATTTCAAGGCAATCAGTTTCAGTAGTTTTACCAAGTAAGATGAACTTACTCTTAAAGTAATGGTTACTACATATTTCAGATTTGAGGTTGGCACAGCTTCACAACATGAGTTCTGTGAATGAAAACTAAAGTTCACTTCACTTGCTGTACCTGGTTAGATGAAAGAGGAATTTACTGAACACTACACTGAGGAATTACTTGTAACTCAGCTTTAGATTCACAGTTCACTTTAGTCCAATTTTCAAGACAATCGGTTTCCCAGATATTTTTCAAGTAAGATCTACTTATTAGATTTTACAGTGTGTAATATAGGTCCGTTAAAGTGTATCCCAGGCATTTCAGGTGTAACTTTTGCATTACACAGTTATAGTGTTTATGGAGCGTGCTATACATGCACAGGAGGCGTAGCTAGCTGTCAAACACTCTTATACAGCGGCCAGAATCTCAAATTAAACTCTCAAACATTCTTAAAACTTTGCATTGCTTTTGTACCTCCAGAGTGAAATTCCTGCTGATATTTTCGTACGTTTTCCAGGCTTCGGTGCTCGCCTCTTCGTCCATATTCACAGCGCGACACAAGTCTTCAAACCCGGCTTTAGCCTTCTGCAAATACTGGTCCTCTTCGCTCATTTTAGCTAAAGTTACGCACGAATCCAGACACTTTTGTAAAGACGAACAAGCTATAGAACGCCTGGAATAGTTTTAACCGTGTATTTCCTCATAAATTGCCGTGAATATGTTATTAACGTGCAATAAGGTTCACGGTCCCGAGTGGAGCCATTTAAATGTCCTGCTTCGACTGACAGCTCTGGGTTTTTGAGCGTAACGGCCTAAGTGCGTAAACGGAGATACGTCATTTAAAAGCGTAACTACAATAGAGAATAGGAAATCAGGCGTATCGTAACTGAGCTTTACAGCAGTGACCAGAGGGGCGGGGCGCGGAGCTCAACGTGTTTTTCGTCACATAATAAAAATAAAAGCGCACTTTACGTAATTGTAACATTATTTGCATATTTAAGGTCCTATAATGCACAAAATTGATTCTTGTGAGTTTTAAGAGAATGCTATTACTTCATCAAAACATACCTGGAGTTGTGATTCATTATTTCATTCATTCAGTTTGAGTAACCCTTTATTATTAGTTTTTCTACGTCTCCAAAGCTCAAAATCTGTTCCACCTTGTGATGTCATGAAGCACTAGTTTTCAAGTTAACAGTTACCTTTTACTTTTAGTTCAGTAGAGATTAGCAATTTCAGGTCTGAAATTATCCAAGTGATTCTAAGGAAGGTGTATGGAGTAAAAACACACTTTCTGGATTACCATATGAAGGTGGAACAGGGTGTCTAGACGTCCTTATTTACCCAGTTTTGAGCTCTGTGTCCCCTGTTCCAGCAGATTTATCCAAAATCAGTGATTTGACCCTGTTTTATACAAGAAATGTCCCAGGTGTCTCTGTTTCTGACCCATCTTATTCCTGCCAACAGTAAAGAGAAACATAAGCTGTCACTTGTTTAGGTACAATACAGAAAAGCCACTTAAAAACACAAAACACAAAGAAAATGTGACTGTAGAAAAAATTGAATGTGACTATGCTAAGTCACATTAGTGCTGAGTGCATAACAGTTATCCTTAATTACGCACTTGTAGCACAGTTTTATTATTATCAACCACCTTATACCAAGGCATGTCCCAGTTTTTTATTTTGAAAATATGGTCACCCTGTAATAGAAGTGTTTTCTATTTGAGAGAACAACTCAGTTAAAATCTGCAGGGATTGTACTGTACATTAAATATGTGAAAGAAATTAAACACAACTCCAAGTATGTCTGTAATGGAGAAACAACATTATGACATAAATCAGAAAATATGAGCAATATGAGCTGAGATCAAACTACAACATATCTGATACATAGAATACCGGTTGCCTATTTAGTTCAGAAAGTAATGTCCCCAAATACAATAAAACATCATTACTAAAGCTTATTTTACTTAAAAATGGTCTATCTTGCATTTATACAGTTAGTATAAGTATACGTATTTTTAAAAAAAATACATAGAAAAACATGCATTACTGTGAGTGGGCTTGTCTCTGCACAGATGTGGACCTGTAAACTGACATAACTTACAGTACCTGTTGTCTCTATGGAGATAGACAAGTTTAATGCCATACTATGAGACAATGCAGACAAATCAGCAACATCTCCATGACAAACAGACAAACAGGAGGCAGATTCTTCACAAAAGAAAAGTTGCTTAGTGTATCTTTAAAATTGCATATTGCTTTTTAATCTACTTTTTAGCAAGTTAATATAATCATTAGCTCCTACTTAAACACGCATAACTCCTAAAATAGGCAGGAGGACAATCTTTTTATTTAAGCCATTGTTCCATCCAAATATATCCAGGCTTTATTTGCACATTGGTTGAGCTTAACATATACAAATAAATAAATAAATAAATAAATAAATACTAACAATGTTTTTGATATAATTCTCCTGTTAAACCACTAGATGGCACCAGTTCATAATACTTAAGCACTTGTGTTCATCAAGTTTAACTAGATGTCAGAATGTGTTCAAATAAAAACGCTGTAAAACTATAATCAGTGTTCACTATTTGTATTTGTGGTTGGGACAGTTTTACTCTTATACTTGTTTTAATGCAGTTTAAAGGTGCAGAAACTTAGAGGATCTGCCACTTGCTTGATGTTAGTACTTTTACTAAAACGTTTCATCGTATGGCATTAAACTTGGTGCCTATGTTTTTTTTATTGCTCAAAAATACCCGAACAACAACTACTCTTAAAATGTACTAATAATTGGTATATTCCATGATTACTATAACCTTAAATACATTTTCATACATTTTCCAGTGTTCATGAACATTTATTTCATTGTTGTAAATTGTAATAAATTAAGATTTCTTTGCATTTTGCGATTAAAAGTGAATCATTCCAAAACAACACGTTTAGACAAGGCAGAGACAGAACATGTCTGACATTAGTATCTGCTGCTAATCCCAGCGAGTAAAGGGAGCAAGACATATGAATTTACTGTATTTTTTTTTTCATGTGAGCAGGAATGAGTGAAATAGAAGAAGGATCAACAAATATGTTTACAAACTGTCTTAATTATGGACAGAGACATCGCACTGTGGCTTTTCTACATGTATGTCTATGCTAGAATGTTCAGCAGTTACCATAGTGACACAATTCCATGCAAGCAGTACCCACCAAAAAGTTTCAGATTATCCAAAAACTTAAGAAAAAATACAACATTTATTTAAACACATTTGCAGGATTTAAGCACATTTCAAAAAGTGCAAACGGTTCTGTTTAAGTGTTTGATTTTCAACCAAAAGGTGAGAACTAACTGAAAAACTGTTGGTTAAAGCTAGCTAAACTCAAACATTTAATGATAAAAAACAATCAAGAAACAGTTTAAGAAGGACATATCATATCGACATATAATGAGGATGCTGAACTACAAGATCCCCTCTGGCGTGGGAATGGTCACAACAAATTGAAGACACAAAGGAAAGGCCCAAAGGAAAAAAAAAAAAAAGTTGATTGACTTTGTTCAGCCTCCAAAACAAATACAAATATCATCAAAGAGGAGCGCACAGACTGACCTTAAACAGAAGAGAATCCGCACAAATGCTGATACCCTCCCAAAAGCAGATATCTGTCTTCTCCTCATACACAACTTCATGATTCTCCTCACTCCAGCATCATTTCAATTCTTCTTAACATTATCCACACTCACAACCAACTTTCAGACATGGTGGAAAGCTCATCGGACAAATTATTAAAAGACTTTGTGAAGACCCCCTGTCAACAACCCCTGAAGAAGAAGATGAACCATCACCCAAGGGAGAAGGTACAGGCCTGTCAAAATGCAAATTGTAACATAAGGTGAAGTTGTTATCATTGTCATACAAAAGTTTAATTCAACTCTTGTATTACGCAAAAAGCTTTTATCCATGTTAGAATGTTACTTCATCAAAACATACCTGGAACTGTGTTTTGTTTCATTCACACATTTTTGAGTAATCCTTTATAATTAGTCTACATCCTCAAAGCTTAAAATGCTCTGCTTTGTGATGTCATGAAGTGTACTAGTTTTGAAGTTAGCTACCGTTGATCTTTTGTTTTAGCAGGAAATTCCAAAGCTGAAATGATCCACATTATTTTAGGGAAAGAGCATGGAGTTTAAAAACACAGTGGAGCACTTCTTGTATTACCACATGACATCACAAAGAGGAAAAGAGTATTTTCACTTTGAGAGAGCAACTCTGAACTAAATATGAAGAGTTTGTGTGTTAAACATGTGTGAATGAAAAGAAAACAACATTACAACATTAACATAGATGGGAAAATAGCATAATATGGGCCCTTTACGTACAGCAGATATGTCAAACCCAGGCCCGGGGGCCAAATTTGGCCTGGGATATAATTATCTTTTGGTCCGCGAGATCTTATCAAATATTTATTAAAGCTGGCCTGCCGGACATTATTTATTTAAAATGTTGTTATTATTTTATATTATGCTTGTTCTAGATTCAATGTTTAAGCAAAACTATTATTAGCATTATAAGCAAAATATTTATTTTAATAAGAAAATGTTTAACATTACATATCTCAAAAGAAGAGAAAACATTCAGATGTTGTTGAAAATTTTCAATAAATATATAGTTTGTTCCACTACTTGGTCCCAGTTTTAATTTTGGGCCTCTGTGAATTTGAGTTTGACACCCCTGATGTACAGTCTAGTCTACATCAAAATTTTTCCATTTAGAAAATATCATATTTGGTTTTAAAGCATTCATCATCCCAGTGTGTCATCATTCTGAAATCCATGGATAATTGGGTTAACCAAATATTTACATGACATGTCTGTATGGTTTTTACATTTAATCCAAATAGTTGATTACTCATGTGACAATGACCAGTTTATGTTTAAAAATATATTCAAGCTTTTCATGAGGATTCCAACAAAAATGATCACAATCATTACATTTGTCTATATTATACACACATCATATAAATATTCTCTATCTAAAAGCCTACAGCTGTGACATTTCAATCTTTATTTGGTTTAAAGCAGAACTATTCTGCAAAATGGACTTTTCAGAGCTTTTAATCATGTTATAATTGTTTCCCCTCACTACTGACCCCCTGAAGTTGTATTTGGAGTGATACCTTCATGTTTGAGCAATCTTTATTTTCAAGATCAACCACCGTTTTCACCGCCACTGAGACACTCCCACTGCTCTGTACTTAACTCATTCTCCAACTTTATTTTATTTTCAGTGATATGCATAGGATTCTTTAGCATCAGTCAGTCATTTTGGCACAAATTTTAAAAAGTCCTCTGCTGTGTGATATGCAGATATCCATCACCAGGGGCTGACAGCTGCACGGCTCTTTGTTGTGATGACATTTACAGTAACTTCAACTCCCATTGCAGTTTTCTAATACAGTCAGTCATCTAACTTGTTTTTTCATTACGTTGTTTTTGAGACTATTACATAAGGAGGCACGGGGGTCATAGATGGTAACAAAAGCAGACACAAGCTCAAAAGGCGTACTTTAAAAAGTGTTCAAAATCTAAATTTATAATAGAAATAACTGTTTGTTGACTAATCAAAAAAATAATCAATGACTAGTCAAGACAGTGGTGGAAGAAGTACTAGTTTTGTTTTTTAAATACAAATACCATAGCCAAAAAAACTAAAGGAAAAGTATCAGTATCACATGAAAAAAAAAGGAGGAGCAGAGGAGAAGAGG